TAGTGTGTTTTTGTTTGCCTTTAAGGTGGTTTAGGTCTGTCTGGTAATTTTTTTAAAGCCCTTTTAGGTCATTTAGTGTCTTTTTGTTTGTCTTTCGGGTGGTTTAAGTCCATCTAGTATTTTCTTTTAAGTCTCTTTGGTGCCATTTAGTTAATTTTATTATTTATTTTATTCATTTATTATTACTACCTTTTTAAATTATCATCATTGTTATTATACGTCACTGTGGTGCAGCATCAAGGCAGTCAACATTATGTACATAATAAAAGCCTCACATTATTTGTATTTATACCCAGGAATGTGTACGATATCAGAATTTCCAACATATACAATAATCCTGAGCAATAGCATAACTCAGAACAACATCTAAAGTCTGTATATGGAAGAATCTGTACAATATTAACAGCACTTGTGTGTATTTCTTGTTTATTTGTTCCCCCAAGTCTCAACATTTGAGCTCTACCTGCTGTAACACTGATAGTTTCCCACTGTGGCATTAATAAAGCCTTGTCTTATCTAATATACTCTTACATTAATGAACTCAATCTGATTTAATCCACATAAATGCTCCTAAACATGACGTGAAGTGAACTTTCAGAGCATCTGAGCCACTAAAAGCTGCATTGAGGTGACTGACAGGAGCTGATGTGTCCTTCATTCACCGACACATAAACACAGAAAATGTAAATAAAAAAAACAACACAACAACCAGCTGAGCAGTGAGACAGTTTCTGATCATTTAAACCGTCCAGAAACAGGTGAGCTGACATGAGAAAGTGATGACAGCAGCAGACGGACACACACGGAGCCGCTCACCGTGAATCCTTTTTCCATCGAGTTGTTCTCGGAGCGGAACGACGGGATCGACACTCGGACCGGATGCATCTCTGCGTCTATCAAAGGTGCAGCTTTATGGCAGGTAATGTTTGATCCTCTGACCGACACACACACCACACACACACACGCAAACACAGACTCACACTGCTGGTGGTTTACTCCGGTTCGTCTGACAGCCTCTGATAAAAATCACTGAAGTCCAACAACAGGAGCGGAGTGCGAGCGGCGCCCCCTGCTGGACGGGAGGGTCACTGCAACAACAGGTCAGTGCAGCACAGGAAGCATTTAGCGTGTTTACACCTTTGTTTATTGTCTTTGACTGCAAATATGATATCATACAGTACATGCAAACCTCTGTGCACACAGAGACACGCACACGTATGTACAGACACAATCAATTAAGGAGCCTATTTAGCATTTTTAAGCCCTATGCAAACATTTAAAGCACACTAATGTAGCTATCAGCCAGCTAGTGGGGCCTTTATGTGTGTTTTTGGGGTGTTTTGCAAT